AATTCCTTGCCTTTTGGAGGTATCCAGGTAATGCTGGTTGGTGATTTTTGTCAACTGAAACCAATTCACACTTTGATGGATGAAGGAAACGCAGTTTTAAATTTCATGTTATTCCATGAAACATTTCCTCAGAGAGTCGAGTTGAAAGAAGTGAAAAGGCAGCATGAAAACAGAAATTCGTTTAAAGAAAGCTTTAGACGAAATACGATCTGGAAAGTGTTACGACGGAACAGAGTCCTATTTCAATTCACTGGATAGGGAATTCGAGGGTTATGCATGGTGCTGACGAATTTACACATTTATATTTTAAGAAACTTCCAGTAAAAGTTCACAATATTAATGTTTTATCGAGTCTTCCAGGGAAGCTCACCAGCTTTAAAATTGTGGACACTGGGTGCGCCCAATACCTTGAATGCACTGTGAATAAAGTTCATTCGCTGAAATTTAACTGCAACGTTATGATACTCTATAACATCAATAATCAACTTCGTAATAGGTCCCGAGGAAAGTTTTTTGATCTTTTGAACGAAAGACTGCTTCTATATTGTCCAAAAGTTGGAGCAGTGACCATCGAACGCAGGACCTGGAATGCATACGATAGAAACGGACGTATAAATACGAGTCGCACACAGTTTCCACTGACGCCTTGTTACGCAACAACAGTTCACAAATCACAAAGTCTCAAAATGACTGATGTCGTCATGCACTGTTCTCCGGAGTTCGTGTCTAGTCAGACGTATGGCGCCCTTTCTAGAAGAAGCCGCTCTCCAGGTGATGCGATTTCAACGAAAGTTTCTACTTCCTGTACCTAAGAAGGCGTTATCTCTTGCCAAAGACGAATAGAATAGAATAAAATAGAGGAATAGAGGTTTATTCAAATTACTTTGCAGCAAAAGCTGAATTACGTAATGATTACAACCTTTGTATTAAAATTAATTATGATACTACTGATATTACTTACATCAAAAAGTTAAAAAGCAGAATAAAATTTAGTTAAAATCTAAAAGTCAGGTAGACCTAAACCTATTTAATTTTATTATTGAATCTGTTGCACATAGCAAAGATAAAAGAGTTTTTGGTCCTTTAAGTTTTAATTAGAGGCAAGTTAAAATTATTTACATTCCTTAAAAGATAGCCTGGATCATAACTTTCAGGCAATAAATGACGAATCTTGTGATTTTCATCGGACATTACAGATTGGAACAAAGTGTCACATAAATATTCGTGATGATTTTCCATGGATTTAATGTTTAACAATCTGAGAGCATCAAGGTAATGCGTATCGGGCATAATTATCGCAATTGCCCTTTTCTCCAACCGTATCAGTTCATTCTTTAAATATTGTGGTAATGAGTGATAGAATACTGGTATTGCATAATCAACAACAGATCTGGTACATGAAGTGTAAAACAATGCTAAATCTTTCGATTTCACTTTGGCACGTTTTAATTGTGAGAGAAAGTATAATCTTTTATTCACTTTCTTAACCACAACCGCGATGTGCTCATTCCATTCCAATTTACTGTTTATAGTGAGACCCAACAGCTTTATACTTTCCACGACTTCTAATTCTTTACCATTAAGAACCAAGGGATCCAGATCAGTGGGATTTGCAGAAAACGTAATGCGCAGTTCTTTGCATTTCTCTGAGTTTAGTTGCATCCTGTTTTTTTCAGACCAGCAAGACATTTCGTTTACTAGGCTCTGAGCTTTACTAATGCCGTTTTTCCGGACTATCTCAGATGTTGTTGAGTCGTCAACATACTTCCATAGATCCCCTTGAGATATATGTAAGTCGTTTATTAAAATAATAAACAACCAGGGACCTAATTTTGTGCCCTGAGGGACGCCTGATGGAACAGAGTCCCACGACGAAAAGCAGGAATTTCCCAGCTTAATTCTCTGGAATCTATCGGTAAGAAAATCCATAATCCAATTTACGACACTGTGGGGAATATCTAATTGTGACACTTTTTTGATCAGGATTGAATGGTCTATGAAATCAAAGGCTTTCCGATAGTCGAAAAGAATTGTTCTAATAACTGATCCATTTCCATCTGTTCCAGTGTACCATTGGTGTAACATATTAATAAGTGCCATTGTTGTAGATGATTGAGGTATAACGCCGTATTGATTCCGATCAATCGCCTTTAGTACAGCTGGCTTTACATATTTATTTACCACAAATTCTTCTGCCACTTTAGAAACGCACGAATGCGCCTTGGATCCGACCTTGAAAGATGCAGAAACAACCACTTCGATCGATGACAGCTTTTTTCATTTTTCTGAGGAATGCGAAACCGATGAGGAAACTGATGATTGACACAGAGTCACACGCTCTTTATGACGAAACCACGGCCAAAAAATTTTTGAGACAAATAGTGGGGTTTCCATCAATCTGAAAGATGTTTTTTACAACTTATGCAATCCTGCGCTAATGAAAACTAACTACATCCCCAACTGGTTTCTCAATAAAGATTTTTTGCAGAAGATAGTTATAGGCTAATGATCCCACCAGCAACGCAATAAAATTGGAACAAATAATGGAAGCGACAATTTGGAAGCATTGGAATTGCTTTCCAAGATACTTTTGGTTCGAATAAACAAGTTATTTCAAGGTTATTTATCTGAGAACGGAAAAACAGTACATAATAATATCAAACAAGGGCTTTACAGCTGCTATACCGCGAGATTACATCGCCTTTTTCTGACGCAAAAATACTGGAGTGGCGTGATAAGTTGCTTTGGGTTTCCATGTTGGGCAGACTTAAACGAAGGTCAGCGAACTTTGGGGTTCCAGTTGGTAATTTGTCTCTGCGAGTTGTTCACTTTCGAGTTAGAAAATCTAACCCGCGAAATAGAGGAAAATGAGCTAGTTCGCTTCAACGTAGAAGAAATGGGACTAGACAGGCAAGCGAAAATACGTTTTGTTGGAGGATGGGCAATCAGCAAGTTGCTAGAAAGGTCAAAAAGGTAAAAGTTGAAATTTAAAAAAATCTTTCTAAAAAAATCTGTCTTTTTAAACAGGTTACAAAAGGTAAACATTTTCTTAAATCTATTGCTTTCAAACTTGTTAAGTTTACTTTTCGTACATAAATTAATATTAAACACAACAACGCTAATTTTCTATGCTTTAATCTTTTAACCAGTAAAACTTTTTCGCCAATGCTTTACGCCTATATACAGACTATAGTATATTTTGTTTATACTATAGAAAATGACGAATACCGGCACCCTAGGCATCCAGCATCGAGACAAGAAATTTTGGCAGCAAATGCTTTAAAAATCACAGCTATTTTCGCGCTTATCTACTCTATTTGAACAAAATTTTTTCATCAGAATTGAGGAAAACAATTTTTTTTTTGTTTTTTAACATTTTTTTTTAGTTTTCATCAGCGTTTGTCCGTATATTTTTCAATTGTTTACATCGTATTACGTATACGATGTACGTATGTTCACCGATCGTCAGAGCTCGTAGAGTTGCCAAGCTTATATAAATATGTATAGTAATGTTGAGTGACAAAGCGGCCGCGCACTAATGGAAGAGGAATAGAGGAATGGGGCGAGAACACAGATTATTGAGCTGCCTATGTTTACACTGGCCTCAATTGGAATAAAATTTAGGCTGAGTTGCCTATAAAATCGATGATCACAGTGCAAATATTTCCACGTTGATCACCTGTAATTCATTCGGACTATGAGCAACGTGCATGGAGGAGATGCCGGATTTAAATGCAATTCAGGTTTTCCACTCGGCCAATTTACCAGTTTAACTGTTTAAACTTTTCTTGAACTCTCGCGTGTGTAATGCACTGCGTATAACAAAAACACACAACGTCCATGACATAATGGCAGACATCTCAGTTCAATTTGGCATTTGCATTTCCGAGCGTAATTCTCCTTAACCTCCCACGCAACATAACAATGCACGTCATGTATAGTTTAATCATTTTGTAAAACCAAAATTTTGTTTGCACTTACCTCGTGTGAATCTATACAGTAAAAAATTGACTTCATTGATTAAATATGAATATAGTAACCATAAGATATCATAAGACATCTATGCGAAATCCCTGGAATCAAACCAACACCTGAGTGATTCAAAGTGAAATAACTTAATCTATGTTATTGAGAATGTTACAATTGCAAGATTTCAGCCGACCGAAATAAAAGATCATAAAATAATAAACAGATTAGACAGAATAGCGAATGATTTCTTCAGTGTTTTGAATTGAATACGAATTTATAGAATTTTCACGAAGAATTCCTCAGTGTAAATGAAAAGTATTTTTTAACATCGCTATTTGTTATAGATTTCCAAAGAATATTTTTGAATAAAAATCTACCAATGCGATGGCAAATTCGAGTTGTAGTAATTAATTCTGCTTTACCCAGACTAGCATTCCATGCAACGTTCGTCATAATATGGTATTCTTAGTGTATGCAACCACAAACGGCCCACGTATATGCAGTCATATCATACCAATCAGACTCCCTATGTTGCATCAAGGCGCCCCTCTTTTACAAAATAAATTTTAGATTATTTGGGGCTTTTTATACCATTTCCTTTTTATTAAATCTTTTCATTAATCCGATTAGACTGACAAATCAGTTTAAACATATATACCACTCAGTTAGTTTGGCATGGCATGATAGCTATATCTTTACTACGCCGGAGAAATCGCCCGGATTCCTAGTGCACGAATGGCCAGTTCTCGTGTGTTCTATAAATCGTCAAGTAATTCATCAGTGGCAAATCCTTGTAATACGCTGTTTTTCTATTTTCATATGTGGAGATACTTACACAATAAGTTATATTATAAAAAATTACGAGGTGCAAGTAAACTGTGGCAATTTCTGAAATGCAGCCTCAAACTGATCATATCTGAATTTAGGCAAATCATCCGTGTGTAAAATAAATGCAGGCGGCATTACGAAACTTAGCAACTTAAATACCTTTCATTGAAATTATTTTATCCCCTGTGGTTAAATATTTTCGAGCGTCTTCTAAACATTTCATCCTTCGTCTCTTGTATAAGGGACTAAAAAACAACAAGACAGCGAAATAGCCAACAATCTAGGATTTTAGGTAAGTCTTCCACTTTATATCAGTTGCTCTAATGCCGTCATTATAGCGGCAGATCAAAAGAACACTCTTTTCGGCTCATCTGTAGTAAAATATTGCTGCGATTGTGGTTACATTAGAAGTAATAGCGTTTATACATGCAACTATTCCGTAGCTATACAGAAGAATCTTATGGCTTGAGCCGCTCTAGAAAAAGCCGATAGTATTCTCTAAGTAATCTGCACATGTCTCCACAACATATATACAATTAATAAGCAACTTGGGATTGAAAATATCCCAATATTTCAAACTGTTAAACCGTGCTTCATTTATAAGACAAAAGATGCTTGTATTGAAATGAATTTAATTAGACGATCATAATATGAACAATTGGGGTCACGAAATTTTTTTTAGTCGCAGCAAAATGATAAAAAGTGTTAAAGATTTAGGCGTGTATTTAGGCTTTCAAAAAAACTCAATTACACTCAAATTCATTGAGTAGAAAGTTTTAATCACGCCGTAAGATTTCCATATCGTAGTGTTTCAACTCACATAAGAGTTTGATTTTCAGCGGTTTATCTTAAACTTTTCTATTGATTAAGAATCAAAGACTAATTTACTGTATGAATCAATAACAAACAATATCTTAGTTATGTCACACTCAATGATTGTAAGAAAGTTTTTTGAACACGGGCGATAGTCTTCATTTAAATGGAAGTTATATGTAGTCGGCATTGCACCATGTCTACAGCTTTACCTAAATTTAGACCTAGATTGAAGTACCTCAGTGCCGTAAGGACATGTAGTTCAGACCTGCATACCTGTGGTCTACCCGATTTTCCTGGCTAATGAAAGGCTGAAACTATGGCCATGTGCGCATACACTGTAGACAAATTCATGCGAAACTCCGCTTAGACTTGCCTGTAGTACAAACGCGGCTGAAAAACGTCGACTTGCCATGCTGAGAGGACAAATTCCTATATGTATGTAATGAATACACGAGAACCTATATACCTTGCCATTCAAACAATGAAAAAATCTTACGAATTTTAACTGTTTCAATAGCTTTCATTCAAGGTTGTATGGCGTTACAATAATAGTATAGGTCTATACGCTTTCTGAAAATACTCAGAAAATGAACTAATGCCATGTTTAATGCAAGGTTGCCATAAATATTCAAATAAATCCACCATCATTGAGTTTGTCAGCATTCATTTAATTGCTTGCATAAATTGGAATTCATAGGCCGCGTTTAACCAGATTCAGCTTACTGGTATTTCCGGTCATTTAGTTAAATTTATTTATTTTGAATACGATCATTGCCCGTCAGCCCCTGAAACATATATTAATACTCTATAGTTTAATAATACGTCGTTTAATAATATATGTTATCTCAAATGTTCCCAACTCATCGTCCTAAAATAATATTGTTGATATAATTATCTGACTGAAAATAAACTTTATAGATCGCGCATATTAAATCATCTCATCGTATAAACAAACATAGAAATGTAAATAACATGACGTATAGCGATAAAGCCAATGGCAGAATATTGAACCATCAGAATTATTACGTCTTCGGAAAATCTCGGTTCAAACCTTGAAACAGACAAAAACAGCGTGTAGCCACAGTTTTTATTTTTATGCCTAATTTACTTCCGGCGCTTGACCTGAAATATTCTAGATTAAAGTTAAAAGACAGTTAGATTAAGTCTGGCAATTTCGGACAAATTTCAAATGAAGAATTTTTAAATTCATCGCAATTATCGCTACTCAGGTTTAATTAATGAAAGAAATCACCACAGAAAGATTACATTCATTGGGTCGTGAATGTCATCTTTGTGTGGTGATTGCTTTCATTAATTAAAACTAGGAGCGATAATTATTATGGTTTATCTGGTTGGCGTGGTTGGCGCGTGAACTTATTACTTCAATTATCAAAATGTCAATATTTTTCACCACAGTCATCTTCACTCTTTACGCATGGCTATTTTAATTTACATACTTCTCTTTTTAGGACATTTTGCGTAAAAATGGGTTACGCGTGTCTTCGATTTTGTGTGTTCTTCTTCAATATCCTATTCTTTGTAAGTATACAATCACTAGCGATTTAATATTTAACTCCACGTATACTGCACGATTATTGAGATCGTTTCGCCGGGAAAAATTGTCAATATCAAATTATCTTTTACAATACAAAGACCTATATCAAGAAGCATGAAGATATTCCGGATGCCACTGCTACATGCAGCACCTTACAACGAATCTTTCTATGGATCAGATTGTAATTTAATTTATTTCTAACGATACTCTCTACAAATACAACACTATTTTCTCAAAAAAAAACAGATAAAACATGGAAGTCAAGGAAATCAATATTTCCCAAACTGATGCCCAAAATCTGCTCAGTGTACTCTACGGAAACCTTTCAAGAAAGAATATGTCTTGATTAAGATATTTAAGATTTAAGATAGAAGTACTATTTTCGCAGTCAATGACTAAACTGCATTGGTTAACAATGTTACTCTACATTAAAATATAGTTAGAATTACATGATAAATGTAAAATGATAATGATATGTATATTTTATTACCATTTTAGTTGAGTGGTGTCGCTTTGTGTGGTTATGGTATTTACCTTCGTGTGGATGAAGATGACTACTCAGATATATGCGAGCAATACAGCTGGGTCAGCGCTGCGAACTTGTGTATTGCTGCAGGGGCTTTGATATTCTTCATTGCCGCCTTTGGATGCATTGGTGCTGCAATGAAAAGCTCTGCTCTCCTTGGATTTGTAAGTGGAAAAGTTGTAGTGAACTATATAGTATGCCTCAGTACGTTAGGATAAGACTAAAAACCCCTTAGTGGGGAGGGGGGTGAAAGAACGGAACGAGAAGTTTTTGGTTGCAATGTCTACCGTTTTAAGGTATAAATCTAAATCCACGAATCCTTTATATCATATCACGTGCATAATGTGCGTATGTTTGGCATGCATTTTACACCAAATTGCTGATTTTTAAATGTTTTAATGAATGTTTAGTTGATTTGATTTCCTTTCAAGTTGATTGATCAGGGAACAAAAATCTATCAATTAACCTCTTCAATTATCAAAAGAAATCTATCAATTAACTCTTCTGCCGTTGTTCCAAAAAAGATTCGGGGGCCAATCACAGCTCGACCAGCCTTCTCGGCCCGTTTAATCGGATCAGTTCTTTTCTTTATTACATTCTGACAATTCCCCCCTTCTTCCGGTCATGCAATAAACAACTGTCGCGGCAAGTAGTTAAAACCTGTTTTGTCCTGGGATTTATTCAACTGGAATTGTAGTTGATGTAAGAGAATATTGCTAGGTGTGTCTTGTCAGCGATGATAACTGATTTACAGAAAGCAAATGCACCTTCTGATCATTTCACAACGGTGTATCTAACTTGTTCATGACAAATACGACGAAGGGGAATCTATTTTTTTCCCTGATGCAAAAACCCTAACACTGAAAAATTTTTTTCCAGTTCTTCTTCTTCCTGTTGTTGATTTTTGTTCTTGAACTGGCGGCTGGTGTCACGGCGTTTGTGTATCGAACAGAGGTCAGTATATAACCGTCATGTATGCATGGAGACATTTTGAACAAGTATGGCGTAGCCATGCATGCAGCCTAACGATTTTTTCCAGAATAAATATTCATTTTTCTAGCAATTGATCGTTTTCAAAGATTAGCATATATAGCGGGGCTAACTCATTTAGCAGCCTACCCTATACTACGTATATACTTTCCACAATTCTGATATTGCTTATTGAGTTTTTTTCTTCAGTGTTATACACGATTACTTCTATTTGCAGTCAAACCTATAGCAGCTAACGTGACGTTCTCCCCCACCCAACGTTACGTTCCGCCCTAATCAACTTTATGTTCTGATTCAATAATTATGCAGCTATGATTTGAGTGACTGTTTTTAAAATATTTCAACCGTCAACCCATTAGAACTGGCTAATCAAAACATACGGATTTTACTGTTGGCTAATTTTATTCAGTAAACACCCTACTCGCGAAAGCTTGCCGTGAATGTTATATAAGTGTAAGAATATATACAGCATATTAGGTTGATAATCACTCGTGAATCGCTGCGTTGGCAATAGCCCAACGTAACGTTGAGTGTGGGTGAACGTAACCTTGAGTGGAGGTGAAAGTGCGTTGACTGCTAATAAACAACGATAAAAATTCGGCTTCCGGCGCGTGTGTTAATTATCATCTTTTAATTTGATCATGGAATTTCTATCAGTTTATCAGTAGAACACCACGTGATCAGCCGCATATATTAACGTGAATAGCATTATCTTAATCAGAAGTCTCACAGTTCAACTAGGTCTTATACATATACACAGCCTGAATTGTAAAATCAAATTATCTATTATATTATTTAGACATAAAATTACATAAACCTATAATTACTCCGGCGCCAGCGACGGAGTTGAAAATTCGCCCCGGTTTTGTTTTGTCTTTGTTTTGTTTTTGTTTTTTTTTTTCGTCGTCGCAAGTCTGTAATGGCGCGAAACATTCTAGTATTTAAAATGTGTATGTGACTGTATTTATCTACGTCCCAGTCTTATCTCCCAAGAGTTGTGGTGCACAGCTTTGGCTAATTTTCCGATGCGCGATTTGATTTCGCTCGCATGATACGGCAATTTCTCCAAGAGGGACAAATAAACCGTTGTTTTCATGCTGTTCGATTAAGTTTAGATTGAATTGGAGTAAGAATATATTTAATACATGTAGATTCTGGTCCTATTTTAATAATATCGCTGCTATTTCGCCGTTTAACAAGATGATGTGGTGGTGTATGGGCGCGTTGACACGTCGTAGTTTGCACAGGATTGAAGATATAATATATAAGCGCGAATTCCAAAGGCTAAGTGTAAGACAAAGCGAATGTATCATGCGGTTTGTTTACATTTTTGAACAATTGAACTTCTATACTTTTTAAAGTACGATGTGCTTCTGAATTTTGCGATCGAACATTTAGCTTCGCAAGGCATCTAAATGCGAATATGAACTGTATTGTTTATGTTCAGAAGCTCTATATTGAAGACTGGCACGTGCGCCGGAGTTAACGCCAGAACAGGCGTCTTGTTGTATATTTAATTCGGAGGCCAAAATTCGCGTTTAGCTATTTAACGTTTATAAATTATGGTAGCATTTAAAAAATACATCCTTAATTATCTATATTTTATGAATAAAGAAAGTAAGGTTTGGTCACTTGCTTATGGGAAGAAGGAGGTTCCTTGTAATCGGCCACTCTTGAGCAGAGAAAACCAGCCAGTGAATTCAAATTTTGCATCAAAAATCCTCGTTTTATTTGCTTCCCTAAAACCTCTGATTGCGCATTGTCAGTCCCGTGAACAGAGATTCAGTTGATCAATACCATTCTTTAGGTCGTTGATGAGGCAGAAATTTGCTTAAATGGTACAATCCGTCAAGCTCGAGACGGAAAAGGAACCTATCAAGATGCTTGGAAAAATGTTCAAAAAGAGGTAAATTAAGTTGATACCTTCAGTTTCAAAAAGCACGAATAGGTTCATCAGGCGACTAAATTTCAGCTCGTTATACAAGTCTGATGACGTGCGTCTTTCTCGTGCGAAATTTCCTTGCGAAATTTCCTCGCTGTTTCTTTTCATCTATGATCTTGTGGATTTATATTTCATGGTAATTACTAAAAAAACCCCGAGGATTTTACCATGTTTGCCTTTTCTTACCCAAGTAGAATAATGAGTCCTATGTATGTTTGGGGTGGATTTCTATATGCTTCTTCCTTACTATTGAATTTTGAAATATTTTCAGGGTCATTTTGTGCATAAATCAAAGGATATTTTGCATTAGCTATTTAGAATCGTGATGTACCTAGCTGAATGTTCCGAGTTGGGCATTTAGCTAAATACAATGTCACGTTTTGCACGACAATGCACGGTTTTCAAGGCAGGCACATAGCTTGACTTGATCTATAACTAAATTAGGGTAATATATTACGTTGCAGTTTGATTGTTGTGGAGTCCGTGGTCATGCAGACTGGGAAGGTTTTGCCGATCATAACTGCGAGGATACTAAAAACGATGTAAGTTGCTGTTTAGTACTTAATTTTAGTACAAAAATTAAATGAATTATCAATGGCCGGTTGTTCGAAATGGGTTTAGCTTATATAGTATAGGTGGATAAGCTAAAATTTGAAAAATGAACGCAGCTCTCATACCCCATATTTCGGGGAAATATTGCACCATTGAACTATTCAATATCCTCCAACAAGGACAATGAAAACCGAGCAATGTAAAACATCTGAATTAGGGCTGTCGTATTTTTTTTGTGTCAATTTTACAGTTCGTCCATGCATATAATACCAAAACTTCATTTATTTCTATAACGCCAGTGAAATGTACCCAAAAAAGGAGTTGCACTTTTTCTCTTTATTATTGGTCTTCACTTACCGGTTCAATAAATTGCATGCCCTCGGAAAACATACTTTTTTATTATATATTAAGCAATTATTTTTCACAATTTGATGTAAGAATTTTCATTAAAAGGGCTGTTTGGACAAATTTGAAGACAAGTCAACAGAATTTCTTTTAATAATCGGTGCACTGTGCATTGGCCTGACACTAATTGAGGTACGTTGATCTGTTTGAAATCCACAAATTCACGCATGGTTTTGGTAAAACTAAAGTGGAAGTCTAAACAATATGTAAACAAACAGTTTTATTGAGATTATAAACTTCTACATTTTTTAATTCGATATAGTTTACTGTGCAGATGTCTAACAACTTTAACGCCTGTTTCAAACGTTGTGCATGCTTCCCTTCATTAGTTCTATTGTTTTGAAGGCGTTCGGCGCATGCAATAACATATTATATTTCTAGCTTATACGAGAAGCACGTTTGAAACAGCTAGGCCTAAGATTCGCTATACACGTCTAAATTAATAAGAACTATAGAGTTAACAGGCTCCTCCCATATAAATTTTTGTTAGCAGAACTGATCCTAAACTTGAGGTATATGCCTTAATTTGTGTTTTGCTAACTTTGCCAAGTTGGCTAGTTAGAAAATATAATTCTTAACAGGTGTTATGTTTTTATCAAGAGATTCCTTTAGTAAACCCGATTTGTTTTTTTGAAAAAACCTAGATGAAAAGACTATCTTCATATATTTATCAATTACCGTAATAAGCAATGATTTAAATTTTCCTTAATCCATAAAATTAATCCCTTCACAATTATATTAATGAATTTTAAAACTTATTTGATGATATTTTAATGTAATTGTTGCATGCATGTGCGTGTTCTTCATGTATTTGATAGTGCTGAGCACAACACGGAAACCATCTCTTGTTTCGACACCCGTTGAATAAACCTATTATATAAATGTTAAAGTACAAAACTAACAATGGTTCTCTTTTCTGTAGATTCTTGGAATGATCCTCTCTATTTCCCTAATCCTCAAGATCAACAAGGAAAAGAAGAAATATTCTCCTGAACCTAAAGAGGACTATGGCAAATTTTAAAACCTCTTTGACTTTTCAGCCTATAATCGTTTATAACTAAATATAATTTGAAATATCCTGAGAAATATCCACTTTCAATGTTCAAAACTAAGAAAACCGCAGTTGCGGTATTTTGTAGGTAAAATGTCAGCATGCTACTTTACCTCCTAATACAGCAGACATTTGCAGGTGGGAAGGTTGTTAAAAGTTTTCATAATTTTTTTATTTTGTAATTGATGATTTACTGTCACTTTGCCATTACGCGTGAAAATATACTTTGCTAAAAAGATAAGTTTTTAAAAGAAGACTCGTGATTCTAGAAAACACTCTAAGAAATAGTTATAATGAATGGTACTATACATTATATGGTAGTGAACAAGCTCGTAAATACCTTTTTTTGTCTTATTTAACCTACTGTCTACAACATCAGTGGCGTACGGGAGACGAGAATTGGGGGGAAGGCAAATATTCATATATTCATTTTTATTAACAGACCTGTTAAGACAATGGATTTGACTGAAAGAAATTAATCTTGCACAACCTGAATATATGAATATGTGCTCCCCCCCCCCATTATGGTCACCCGTGCGCCACTGTACGACATTATGGTATTCTGACCCAGTCCAATTAAGATTTGGCGTGAATTTGAAACTAAGGCAATGAACTGCCAAACCACAACTGTGTTGTCGAGTTCTCACTCTCTACGCAACGATAAATCCCTCCTAAACAAGCTCCAGTGTTGCCATAACTTCCAAAATATCCCGTACAGTTGTTACTCTCCAAGGGCTGACAAGACTTAGAAAAATAAACATACAATGTCCAATATTTCGATTGGGAAAGAAAAGTATAACAAGAATTCAATATTTTCCCATTAATTTTTCCAATATGAGTTGAAATAATGTCGGAAATTAGTGATGGAGGATGAAAAATGTCGTAGTTTATAATATTTCTAAGTCCAACGCGATAATAGTCTAGTTCTTCTTTGTCTTGTTCCTTCTCGTAGTCACAGGTAAACAGGAGGAAATCTGATTGGCTATAAATTGTTTGCATCCTTGCTTTGCTCAGCCGATACCCTGACCAAATAGGCACTAATTCATTTACTGGATGGTCTTCACTTACAGGTCCAGTAAATTGCAAAAGTTTTGAGCTGTTTTCGAAACTGTGCGACTGCACTAATGTCCATCTAGTGTTCGAATCAAAATGGCAATAAACGTTATAAAGCAACATGTTGGAGTCCAGCACTTTGTAGATGCCAGATTTCAGGGATCGGTTTTGATACCCCTTGCATGACGTGATCAATAGTTTTTCACAATTATCACCATGGTAACCGTTTGGGCATTCACAGGTGAAACGTTTCCAGGGTTGAGAAAGTGATTGCATTGGTTTACATAATTTATTCTCGGAACAGATACCTTGTTCTTGGCAGCAGTTGTACTTCGTGAAACAACTTATGCTTGAACATTGCTCCGCCATATTCTACCGGGATAAAAATATTATTCAGTTGGTCCCAACAAATTCTCGATGAGACGTTGCAGAAACATATTTTTTCATCTATGATATATCTTATGTAATTAATGTACAAAAAATAGAAGGGAGCGCGATTTGAGCATAAATTGCACCCATTCGCGTTGCGGGTAATTGCACTCTTGCCCATAGCTAATTAAAATCACTCCGAGTATTAATTATTTAACAACTAGCCAATCACTATTGAAGATACAAAATATGAATTGTGGGCACGGTCTGTTTACAAAAACTTGTGATGAGCGATATTCAATACTTGTATTGTCTTTTTTGATTAGAGAAGACGTATAATTAACAAGCAATAGAACAAAATTAATTAAGTCGTGCTATTAATGCCATATTGTTACGAGGTTGTTTCATTTTTGTAACTACCCGTATGATTTTGTAATTAATTGCACTCATTCTATATCACCATTATTACTCCGGCGTCAGCGACGGAGTTGAAAATTCGCCCCGGTTTTGTTTTGTTTTTGTTTTTTTTTTTTTTATTTTTTTTTTATTATTTTTCGTCGTCGCAAGTCTGTAATGGCGCGAAATATACTAGTATTTGAATAGTGTATGTGATCGTATTTATCTACGTCCCAGTCTTATCTCCCAAGAGTTGTGGTGCACAGCTTTGGCTAATTTTCCAATGCGCGATTCGATTTCGCTCGCATGATATGGCAATTCCTCCAAGAGGAACAAATAAACCGTTCTTTTTATGCTGTTCGATTAAGTTTAGATTGAATTGGGGTAAGAATATATTTAATACATGTAGACTCGGTCCTATTTTAATAATATCGCTGCTATTTCGCCGTTTAACAAGATGATGTGGTCGTGTATGGGCGCGTTGACACGTCGCGTAGTTTGCACAGGATCGAAGATTTAATACAACTATATATAAGCGCGAATTCCAAAGGCAAAGTGTAAGACGAAGCGAATGTATCATGCGGTTTATTTACATTTTTGAACAATTGAACTTCTATACTGCGATGTGCTTCTGAATTTTGCGATCGAACATTTAGGTTCGCAAGGCATCTAAATGCGAATATGTATGCGAAACAATACGCGAACTGTATTGTTTATGTTCAGAAGCTCTATATTGAAGACTGGCACGTGCGCCGGAGTTAACGCCAGAACGGCGTCTTGTTAATTAGTTTTTCGTCATTTATCCTTTGTCCAATGAATGGCTACCTATTTTAACCCAAGGACTGAATAGTATATTCACTATATTGGTAGAGACTGACATGCTTGTGACCGCTGTCGTGACATAAGGCAACATTTGCACTTGAAACAAATAAGAAATGCATGAATTTTTTTTCGTGCATGACGTGGATACATGATAAAAACAACAAAAATATTGCAAACTTTATAATAAATTAAATCTACATCACGTGATGTACCGCCAATCTAGTTAAGTATAATAGGCAGCTAATCAGGATAGTATAATAGGCAGCTAAAATTGGCCAATCACATGATTGGCTTTAAATCGATGGAATAATTTTAACCCTCTTTAAATAAAGTTGATTGATTGATTGATTGATTGATGTTCTACAAATAATAATAACAATATATTTTTGATATATTCATCCATCTTAAAATTAAAAAATACAATGGACGAAGTACATATAATTGCTAGTTAGATTTAAAAAGGTGGGAGATAGTTATAATCGCCCTTTTAGAAGCTAGTTATCGTTTCGCTACTTCGATGCCTGAATAAATTTTAATGTTGTAACAACATTTTACCTGAAAATTTTCCTCGTGGTGAACTTCCTTCATATCATACATAACATAGACGCAATCATTATTTTCATGAAGCAAGGAGCTGTTGTCGTCTTTATGACTTGAACAAAGTTGACATTTTGTGTTTTGGCAAATTTGAAACGACTGGCACCTGCAGTTCTCTAGACAACGCTCGAAACAATCTGCAATGCCTCCACTCTCGACATGAGCCGTTCCGACAAGACAAGAATCGTCAAATTCTTTATTTCTTTCTGTTCTTAGTGTAAACTGTGGTTGACCATTCAACATATTTGCATGGATGTTTAACAATATTGCGAACAAAAGAGCTGGGAAAAGGCTATGTAAAACGAAAATAAAACGGTTAGATATGATATAGGCATTCAAATGTTTCGGTGATTTATGGTTAAAGCTTCAGCAAGCTGCGCAGGATTTTTTCTTTCACAAACACCGAGAAAATTATAAAATTATCGGGTTTCCATGCCAAGAGGTTTCTAGTTTCTACCCGCAACATATCATGCACCGGCTGCCATATTTGCCCGGAAACGTCCTGCGGAGGGGGTAGGTTTCTTTGCATATCATATCAATGTATAATTATATAATTATAGACACGAAATTAAAAAACTCATGCAAGGGTCAGTGAGATTCATAACGAAGAAAAATCTTGCTTGAACTCCCAGGAAGCTTAGATTATAGAGTTAATTTAATTGAACATGCCCCAGCATGCTAGCTGGTTGTCACGAAAAATGCATGGACACGGTGCCATGCAACAGAAAGCGGATTTTTTAATCGCTTGAGTATTACCCGTTTGTTGGGTATGACGTTCGGATTTTGACCTATCATGCAAGGCTCTTTAATTATAATAGTAAAAATATAGCTCGACAATTTACGTAAATTTAGACACCACATAGAACTGACAATCAGGTTGCATTTAGCTAAAACACATTCAATTATAAATATACGTATCGATTAACGAGAGTTTTAGCGCAACCAAAATATACTTAGAGAGGGCAGGCTTGTAATTGGACTGATATCTCGCCGTTAGCGCAACGTTTTAGACACGTTTCTAGTTTTCGTTTTATTTCTGAGAATGTTATTTTGCGGTGACATTCACATATGCCAAAGATAGGCTATACAGTTTTGGCAGCACACCAGCAAAATATAAAACCCGCGGTAGACTTTTCAATAGTGTAACATTTATAAGTGAATTGCATACCTCAATTTTTTATTGACTAATATTCTTTGCGGCAAAACCATCAGGACTCGTTGTTCTGACTCGTCGTAGGGCATATTCAAGCGTTTTTTATGATACGATTATGAGACCCGTGCGCACTGACTGCTGTTATATCTGTCAATTGTAATTAATTTTGAATCAGTATATATCTATTTTGGAGTGCACCTGCAAAAGGAATTCATATTTCATATTTTAGGACCTGCCTGTTAATAACTAAATTATAAATATTGAGACTTATTTGTTTGTAACTAGATCTTACATATATACTAAGTTATGTTTAATATATTTTTAATTATAAACGCTGTTTTAATAATCACAATTTTAAATAGAAAATAGCATGTGACATAAGGCAAAGCGTTGCCGTGATAAATATCAACTTTCAAGACAGCAAAAAGAGAAAACAATTTTTAACATTTATAAACCGCCAGTAACGTGACTTTTCGCCTTATTCTTTTATTTCAATATCTTTATCAATATCTTAGACATTCTAGCGATGATTTGGTTGTCGAGAATTGTAATGAAAAATTGAATTGTAATGAAAAATGAAAATCTATAAAATAATTAACTCATTCAATAAATACCAACCGGAAATGAAGCAGAGAAAAGGTTCGGCGTCATATTGAAACGGCGAAAATTATACAAACATTTATTCACGGTTATCTCTTTATGTTTCGAACATATGACTATGTTTTGTAACCCTAATCTCATGCCCAGTCTCTCTAACACATTGCTGTCCAATTTTGTACTCAGGGCAGGGTTGTCCCGTCCGGGCAAAATGTCAGCCTAGTTCTTAGGCCTCTTATACGTTCCTAGTACAATTAGCCCTTGGGACTAGGCTGTCAAAATGTCAACAATTTCAAGTGCTCTTATTTCAGTGAGCTCACTCATAGGGCTGTCTCAAATTACATTGGCAGTATTTATATTATATATAGGACGGCTTAGACGTCTTTATTCTTTAACCTCTGAGACGTTAAAGTTGTCTTATATAAATACGAGAAAATGGTTCTATTTTTTCCCAACTGTAAATTAGAATTTAAATTTTTCACCCTTTATACTATTAGTTAGAAGAATAAGGACAAATAATACCAGGCGTATGATAACTCAGTTTTGTCGAGACGCTTCATGACGTCACGATCTAAGATAAGCTAGAGACTATTGAAAATGGACGCATTTTGCACAAAGGCGGGCCATCCACGCGATTATGTGGGCCCAGACTCATTTCGAAAAACGGAGCAAATTTTTTTTATCGTGTTCACAAATCGCAGTTAGCCGCAAGACGTTCAATTCCTCCAGACACAGCCGTCCTATAATATAAATACGGCCATTGTTCTTCCTCCATGTTTTCATACTTCTAAAATAATTTTTGACTGATTTTTTGAAAATAGTACATGCAGAACTAAGATTTACATTTCGTGCTCTCATGAAACACATAGCATAGTATAATAGTCATATTGTCAAGTTTATTAAAATAACTTTGCCCTTTTTTCACTGCTTCTCTCATGGGTATTATGGAAGTAATGCTAATGGAACTAGAATAAGTCTTTGAACTTAAAAATGGACACTAAAACCACATCTCCAAAAATTGAAACATTTATTTTTATAGTTCCTCACGAGATAAGCTGTTCAAAATATTGTAGGTGCAAAAGAAAATGTGTGCCAAATCAGAACTCATCCACACAATTGAAATATGTGGTGAAATTATTCCCTTTTGGCAAAAATTGATATTTTGTGACACCACAGTTGGTCTAAAAGGCTGTAAACAAACTTCTAGACCAGATCATGATTCAACATAAAGTAAACTACATACAATTTTTCTACTCATGATGCAGCAGCACATTTACAAGAAATAAAACCATTTACTAATGACAGCAGACAGGTCAACAATTAAGAATTTTACTAATTTGGATGCTGTAAGATCAATAAATTTAAAAAAAAGTAACAGCTGGAAGTAAATTTCTATCAGGCTGGTTATGAAAGTGCAAGTATAAAGTAAAGTAAACTAACTTTACTATTTTTTTTATCTTTTTTTGTATTTAGGTTTTATAATTTATTTATCACAACAAGAAAATTTACATGCAAAAAGCTATCTGTACTTATCACATGCTTTACTATGCCATGCTTTATAACAATTATAATCATTAGAAATGTGAAAATACTTTTTTTGGCACTCAGGACCTTCACAAAAAGTATTTACACGTTTCTCCCCCCTCCCTTCCTTATAACAAAGATAACAATTGCGCCTTATACCAGCCTTGATCCCAGGTGTATGCTCTATATGGAAAGCATCTGGATTCACTGTGTTTTTAGTTCTGTCAGACACCGGAGGGTCACGGTAGTCTGGCATACGACACAATTGCCTTACAATAGCCTCCCGATAATTTACTATAGTATACCCTTTCTTGCGCTGCAGTTCTTTGAGATCCTTGTGTTCTGCCCGATATTTCTGAAAAAGTATAAAACTATTAACAATTGCCATATCTACAAGGTGATAGAACAAAATTTTCCACCACCTATAACATTTCCTACGAATATTGTGGCTAGCAAGAAGCTGATCAGACCTGTCTACGGCATTCATGTACTGGTTGTACCTATGTATGGCCTTAGGCTGGGGGACATCTATCTTAACAAATTTCTGGTCCACCATTGCCCTTCTCTTAGCTACCACCTGGTCGTTGGCTGAGTCAATTGTAGTCAACACTGATACAGGCTTGTTGTCAACCCATTGCAGTGTCAACACTTCTGACTCCCTAACCCACCGTACCCCTCCACGCTTCTGGGTCTTGGCCCAGGCTTTTACGTCTTTTAGACACTGTGGGAATCCTATCCTATTTATTCTGGCTGTGCCTGTGGAAAGGGTACCATGCAAGAATAAGTCCCTAACTAATTGGTGGGAAGTGTAAAAATTATCAAAAAAAACATGATAACCCTGATTAAAATACTTATCTAATAAATTCATAACCACATCATAGCCCAACCCATGCTCAGATGAACCTTTGGCCTTCTTTCCTGTGTAGATCTCAAAGTTACAGGTATAACCATTAGAACTGTCGGCAGCAACCCATAACATTATCCCCCACTTAGTAGGCTTATCTTTCATAAACTGCCTAATCCCTGACCTATTCCTTGATTTGACCATGCGCTCGTCAACAGCAATATTCTGCGAAGGCTGGTACAATTGTTCACATCTCTCTCTAAAAGACTGAACAAAAGACTCTACCTTTCGCAGTTTATTACTGGGGTCTTCAGTGACGGGGTCCACCACATGCAGAAATGCCATTAAAGCCTTATAACGAAAGCGAGAAATTATTTCTCTTGCCCACAGACCATGATATAAGGTCTTCACACTCCAATAATTTGAGATGTCACTGCCGACCCTTACCAAACCAGCATACACTAAAAAGGCAATCAACCTTTCAATCTCTTCAAGGTTGGTGGGTTCCCAAGCCCCATCCTTTGTTGTGTACGCGGATGGTTGAGTACCTATATTTATGTGGGCATAAGCATTGGTGTGGGCAACTACCTCTTGAAGCATTCCCCTTGTGAAAAAGAGCCGAAAGAACTCAACTTCACGGTGCATACTTCTGGTGAAAGCATGATCAAGGTGGATCCCAACAGCTCGGCTAGGGGCAAAATCTGGGAGAACATTCCTAGTGTCAGGATCACAAAATCCCTCATGCACTTTGGGGCCTGATCGGTTACGAGACAGGGAGCTTTCACCTTGGGTCCTAGTGGGTTTGCCCCTCCCTTTACCTTTCCCTCTGGCTCTACCCTTAGATTTTTTTCTAATAGGGGAGTGGTGTTCTGAAGATGTGTCAGAACTAGAACTTCCCTCATCATCAACAGCATCTGTAGGGCTAGTATCTTCATCACTAAAAAACGTTTTATAGAATTAAAATTCACATATTGTCACCAATAGTACACTCGAGAAAGAGTCAAAATAATCAGAGATTAGTATACTTTGGAGTTTGGTCTACTCTGTGTATGAAATTATGAATAGAACACACGTCCAAAGGTCATTTCCGTTCGCTTAGGAATTCGGCTAAATATATTCATAAACTATCACTAATCTTCTACAACGATATAGTATATACACAGGTAACACAATTTAGATTTAATAATTCTGGTTAAGAAATGTTATTTGGAGAAAATAATCTAATATTGACACGTGAAAGTGACGCTCTTTATGCAAACGTCGTGGAAACAATGAAATAAAAAAATGATCTGAATATTTACCTTGAAGCTCCAGAAATGACTCCTAACTCTCGATTGAGATATTCTTCTTCGTCTGAAGACATTCCGTTGTTACTAGCACAATCAGAATCGGCTACATCTAAAATAACCTCCTCAAAAGTGAACGTACTAGAAGAAGCCATGTTTACAATCTGACAACCCAACGGAAAATGAGACAAAATCACAAGAACACTGAACACCAGTACGCAATGTTTTCAAATGTGAAGTGGCTATAAAAGGTTTGTTATTTTCTCTAAGCCAATGAAATTACGTATCTGGGATAATCGAAAGCCGAAATTATTCTGATTGGTCGTTCACAACGTTTCAAATTTGAAAATTGAAATACAAAAAACCGTTATAACTAACCGGAAGCCAGGATTTCTGGCTTCCGATTTGGATTATTTTAGAGCCTTTATTTATTTTCTGATTTTTCTCGCCAGAGGACCACCAGCTCAACGAGCTCGGGGACGAGATTGATCGTGGTTCAGCCGGTTTATTGCCTTACTCCCGACTTCCATTAGCCTCCTCCGCAGGCATCTCTTTAATATGTATTTACATTAGGCATTTATATTTGGCGTTTACGAAGCCGGTCCTTTCTACATTTAACAAAAAATTGCGCCTTTATATACACTTAGTATGAATATCTTATTATTCTTATACATTTCCCTGATATGGTTTTGCCCTGCCCTCGTAGTTGTTAAAGTATGCTCTATTATATTCCAAATATTCCAATATATATGTATCAATCAACTGTAAATAGATTTAATTTAGATTTATGAGTGATCAAATGATTCCATAGATTCCATAGATGCAAGTGTAGTAAATGTTTCTTTAATGAAAGCCAAATATGGTAACCAAATGTAAAATGAAATGTTATCCGCCCTAAAGAGATTATCATGTAACCACTTATATATAGATGTAACTTTCCTTGTATACATCAGAGTGAATAAAACTGTGTAACCCTAAAGTTGTGCTGTGAATATAAAGGAGTGGCAAATGGCTACCCAAAACTCAACAGGTTATGGGCCCAGGAGAGCTCTGGTCTTCGATGGAAACGAATCGAAGTACGAATTATGGGAGGTAAAGTTTTTATCCTTTATGCGGATCCAAAAACTTTACAACATTTTTGTGCCTAGCAGCGATGAGCGTGAGCTAGATGAGTCGAAGAATGCCGATGCCTTCGCCGAACTTGTACAGTGTTTAGATGACCGAAGCTTGTCCCTAGTCATAAGGGAGGCAAAAGATGAGGGTCGAAAGGCTTTAACAGTGCTGAGAGAGCACTACCAAGGAATAGGAAAACCCCGAATTATAGCCCTGTACACCGAACTTACTTCACTGAGAAAGGGGGAAAGCGAGTCAACAACGGACTACATCATACGAGCGGAGACCGCGGCGACAGCGCTGAAAGCAGCAGAGGAAATAATAAGCGACGGCTTATTAATTGCAATGGTTTTGAAAGGCCTTCCTAGGAACTATAAAACATTCTCTACTGTGATAATCCAACGAGAAAAGCAGATGACATTCAGCGAATTCAAAATAGCCCTGCGAAACTACGAAGAGAGTGAAAAGAGTTGCCATGGTACGGAAGGCAAAGACAACGTGATGTATGCCGCCAAGACGAAATTCGACGGAAAATGCTTCAAATGTGATAAGAAAGGTCATAAGAGTTCCGAATGTTGGCTAAAGAGCGAAAAATGGTGTGCCAAATGTCGAACCAAGACCCACAATACAAGAGATTGTAGAGCCGCAAAGAAGGACGCAGCGAAGCTTATCAACGGACAAGTGAAGAATCAAGATTTGGATGAACATTCATTCGCATTTACGTTAAAAGATGGTAAAGGTAGGAGTACGAAGAATTCGAAGCTTCTCGTGGACACTGGGGCGACCAGCCACATAATTAATGATAGGTCTAGGTTTGTAAGCTTTGACAAGAACTTTGATCCGAACAGTCACTTTATAGAACTTGCCGATGGGAGCAAGGCTAACGTAGTTTTAGGGAAGGGAAATGCAATGGTTAAATTGTTTGATGTAAGGGGTAATGTACAAAATCTAATGCTAAGCGACGCACTTTATATACCGTCCTACAGTCAAAATATTTTTTCAGTTTCGGCAGAAATAGGTACCGTAGAGGAGGATCGGTTGCTTTAGAAGAACAGGTAAGTAAATACACTACAGCTGAAGGTCAGGTATTTGAGATAGAAGAGAGAGAGCGTTTGTACTATTTAAATAGTATCTCTTCTTCGTGTAACAATGCTACCTCCATTAATGAGTGGCACAGGATTTTAGGCCATTGTAACTTTGGAGATGTGCGTAAATTAGAGCAGGTAGTCAAAGGTATGAAAATCATAGACCACAGCGAGAAAGATTGTGAAGCATGCATTCAAGGAAAGATGTGTCAGAATAGAAACCGAGAGCCAGATCAGAGAGCTAAAGCACCTTTAGATTTTGTCCACTGTGACTTGGCAGGGCCAATTGAGCCCGTTGCCAGAGACGGATTTAAATATGCATTGTCTTTTATAGACGATTATACAGGTATCAACATGATATATTTCTTAAAGCGAAAGAGCGACACTTTAGAAGCCACAGAAAAATTTTTGGCCGATGTTGCGCCTTATGGTAAAGTTAAAAGGATACGAAGCGATAATGGTGGTGAGTTTACGAGTCAAGAATTTAAATCTCTCTTACGAAAGCAGTCAATAAGACACGAGACGAGTGCCCCGTATTCCCCTCACCAAAATGGAACTGCAGAAAGAGCGTGGCGAAGCCTTTTTAGCATGGCTAGGTGCTTGCTATTGGAGGCAAAACTACCAAAACGGTTGTGGACCTACGCTGTGATGGCTTCGGCCTACATAAGAAATAGATGCTTCAACCAACGCTTAGAGAAGACACCATTTGAGGCGTTGACAGGTAAGAAACCAAATTTAAATAATATGCATGTATTCGGCACAACATGCTATGCTTTTTTGCAGAACACCAAGAAAATAGACGCAAAGAGCCGTAAAGGTATATTTATAGGGTACGACAGAGGTAGCCCATCTTATTGATATACTATCCGGAATTAGACAAGATAGAAAAGGTACGTTGTGTCAAATTCATTGACAACTTCCAAGGCAAAGACAATAAACTCAACGATCTTGATGAGTTTGTACCCGACAGAAAACCTTCGAGTACTAGCAATGAAAACCCCAAAATGCCGAGTACAGTTGAGGAGAGCTCGAATAATCTCGAAACAATCAGCGAAAATGTAACAAACAACACCGAGGTGGTTGCCGAGGGAGATAGGTATCCAACAAGAGTTCGCAATAAGCCAAATTATTTCGATCAAAGCAAATTAGATGACACATTAGGTGAGAATGTTAATTACACTGTTGATTATTGCTATAGAGTTGCGAACATTCCAGTGTGCTATAAACAAGCACTTGAGTTGCCTGAGGCAAACAAATGGCAAAAGGCAATGGAAATTGAGATGAAAGCGTTGACAGATAATGACACTTTTGATTTAGTACCGCGACCTAAGGATAGACAGGTAGTGGGGGCAAAGTGGGTTTACACTATAAAAACAAATCAAGAGGGAGGAAAAATATAAAGCTAGATTTGTAGCGAAAGGGTATTCTCAAGTTTCAGATATAGATTACCAAGAAACGTTTGCACCAACTGCACGCATGAGTTCGATCCGAATGTTATTACAACGTGCCGTGCAAAACGACATGATTATTCACCAAATGGATGTGAAAACAGCATACCTTAATGCGCCAATTGACTGCGAAATATATATAGAACAACCTGAAGGTTTTGAAAAGCGAAATGATAGCGGTGAAACGTTAGTTTGTAAGCTGAAAAAGTCGCTATATGGTCTAAAACAAAGCGGCAGGAATTGGAATAATCTACTCCATCAATATTTGATTAACGAAAACTTTATTCAATCTCTTGCAGATCCATGTGTGTATGTGCGTACAATAGATGATGAACGATGTGTGATCGTAATCGTTTGGGTACGATATCATAATCGCCTCGAGTGATTCAAATTCACTACAGAGCGTGAAAAAGTCTCTTAAAGAAAGGTTTAAAATGACCGACCTAGGGATTCTAAAATGGTTTTTAGGCACTGAATTTCAATGCAGTGAAAACACAATTAAAATGAATCAAACCCGGTACATTGAAAAGATTCTTGAGAAATTCAAAATGACCGATTGTAAGCCAAAGCCGACGCCGTGTGAGTTAGGAGTAGACAAAGTTTTGGAAGTGGAATCTCCTGAAATGGAGGACCCCGGGCTTTATAGAGCTATAGTAGGTAGTCTCATATATGTAATGACTGGCACTAGGCCAGATCTGTGTTACATCGTGACAAAATTGGCACAGAAAATGTCAAAACCAACCCAGGCAGATTTAACTAAGGCAAAGCACGTTTTGAGATATCTAAAAGGTACTTCAAAATTTGGTCTAACGTTCACAAAGTCCATTAACCCCCTCATTCTTCAAGGTTTTTGCGATTCAGATTGGGGAGCATCTATCGCAGATAGACGGAGTATAACAGGATACAACTATCAACTAGCGCAAAAGGGACCGTTGATATCATGGAAGAGTCGCAAACAGCCGACAGTGGCACTATCCACCTGTGAAGCGGAATATATTGCATTGACAAACGCGATGCAAGAAGCAAAATTTCTGAAACAACTCTGCATCGACATGAAGGTAAGTATACATGAAGGTAAGGCTTTCATAAAGATAGATAACCAGGGAGCGATGAATCTGGCGAAGAATCCTATTCATCATCAGAGAACAAAACATATAGACATCAGGTACCATTTCATTAGGGAAGAAGTGAAGGAAGGACGAGTTAGTTTAGAGTACGTTTCAACAGAGGAAAATATTGCAGACATATTTACAAAGCCAGCCAGTAAAATAAAATTAGAAAAATTTAAAGAGACCATATTAGGTAAGTATACATAGGTTCATAATTGCGCATATAATTTTAAAGCGATGGCCCGCCCTGCTGCACGCCATCAAATAAATAATTTACTATAGAACATAAAGAGCAAGTGGGGGTGTTAAAGTATGCTCTATTATATTCCAAATATTCCAATATATATGTATCAATCAACTGTAAATAGATTTAATTTAGATTTATGAGTGATCAAATGATTCCATAGATTCCATAGATGCAAGTGTAGTAAATGTTTCTTTAATGA